TTAAATAAGATGGTAAAAACCGAGTTAGCCTGTGTTCAGGGAATGGAGATTCTGGTGAAGACAGAGGGGAGGTATTTGAGACAGCCACAGAGTGACAGTTAAAAGCATGAACTTTGAAGTGTGACAGTTCCGGCTTTAGGTGTTAGCTTTGCTACCTGCTCGCCAAGTGACCCCTGAGTGAGGTAACAGAGTCAAGGTCATCTTTCTGCCACTCCTTGTGGCTCCCAGTGTCTATCGCAGTGCCTCGGCCATTCGGGGCTCATTAATGTTTCCTGAAATTTCAGATCATGCTAAAATAATTATCACAGTGAGGAAAGACTGGGAGAAGGAGTGGTGGAAGGAAAGGTTGCAATTTTGCCCAGCGTTCAGTGAAGCGTATAACAAGCCATGGTAATGAACTCGTGGGAGAGGAGGCCGAGAAATTCTGAGATGAATCATTAAAGAAAGAACATGAGTACAAATGGAAAACTGACAGTGCAAACAGCCACATGAGGGTATGTACGGTACAGAAAGTAAATGAAACCACAGAGACTTTTGGGAAACTTTCTGGGAGAGCAGTAAACACCAAAAAAGCTGATTATTAATCATTTAATCAATGGATAGGAAATACACAATGGTCATGCCTCTAATCTGCATACTGGTATGTGGTAACGACAATCAAAATCGTTTCTGAATAAAAACAATTGCATTTTTAAAAGAAGGCTGTCGCATTTGACAACATGGTTGTGGTGCGACAACAATGTTGAAAATGTACATACTGATGACTGTACATATTTGTGTTTGCTTCAAGGTCTAAGATGTGAAATTCAATAATGTGCTGATACATTTAAGAGTGATGCTCTCACCCAAATACTATTCAAAAAACCTGCTCAGTATTCACTTGGGGCCATGATATTTAACCTAGTTCACAAATGCAGATGAAGGGTCAAGAAGGATCTATTTACAGTCCCATCATTTAAGCCTTCTTGGACATTTCAGTACAAATTTTCTGTCTCCTTCCTTTTCATTCCTCCCTTTTCTTTCTCGGTCTCTCTTGGTCTCTCTGTTCCTCTGTCTCTCTCTCTCTCTCTCTCTCTCACATACGCACACATTCTCACACAATATTTTAGTCACCTCTTTAGACAAAAATGACATGAAATGTCCTGGCCCTTCAAACTAAGTTTAAGAAGAACTCATTGTCCGCTTGGCATTTAGAAAAATGTAGTAGAATGTGTACGGGACCGGGATTAAGCAAGCACCTGCCACGTGCCTTGAACTCTGCCAGGTACTTTGCACCTGTCATTTCAATTCATCTCCATATAGCAACCCCATTTCACAGATGGGAAATCAGAGGTCCTAGCATTGCCAGTAACTCCCAATCTCTGGGCCTTACTTTACCTTCTGAACAAGGTGGTTGGATTTGCTCCCAAAGGAGTATCAGAATCAATTGGGGGTACTTTTAAAATGATAAGTTCTATTACTAATTCTCCAGCTTCTTCACAGACCTGTGGAATCAGAATCCCCAGGTATAGACTCCAGGGGTCTGTTCAGCATGTTCCACAGGTGATAGCGATGATGAGCCAAGTTTGGGAACAGGCTGCTTACCACCTCTGGGAGGTGGAAGAAATGAAAACTATCTTAGGGAAAACGAAAGCACTAACAGGCCATACTTACAAAAATTTAATACTGCCCCCTCCATTTAGAAGACCAAAACGTCCTTCATAATCTGGGGTAGATGGGAGCCACCAATGCAAGGAGCAAAGTCCCAGTATGGCAGGCCTCACGGCACGGCCCATAGTTGGCTAAAAAGGCTGTCTCATCAGAACTCAGAAAGAGCATATTTTCAAAGAGGTCTCTCACCACAACTTAACCTCAAACAGGACGGACTGGCAAGATTTTGCATTTTATCACAACAGGCAGGTGAGTGTGCTACAGCAGAACCTCATTAATGCTTTAGTTTTAAATCAGCTTTTGCTCTGGGGCATTCTGCAGGGTTGTTAACATGAATAGACTTCTGCAGTCTACCCAACCCTCACTTCCCCTCACCCCCCACCCATAAATGGCCCAGCCCCTTTCTGGCCTGTATGGAGTTTGGGCTGGATCACACCTGGCCAATGATTCCCCCACCCCCACCATTTGGGATATATCACTTAGAGCTGGTGGTCATAAACCAGTAACAAGGCCGAGTTTACATATGCTTTCTGTTCTAGTTCAGGCATTCCCTGGGGAAGGCAGACTTCACGCTCTCATAACCAGCTGGGAGCTGGGAGCAATCAGGCCCTTAATGGCCAAAACAGAAAGGGACTGCATCACTGAGCACCTCTTGACAGCCGAGGCCTTTCTTCCTGAATGATAATGACATGAAATGTACACCCCCTGCACGTGTGTGCGTGTGTGCATGCAGACGTGCATGCAGACACGCATGCGCACAGGCAGGCGCACGTAGGCACCTAAAATCCAGCAGGTCCAGCACCCCGAAATAGCTATCCAATTTAAGTTCATGATGTCTTCACAAAATCCTAATGGAGCTTTTAGAATGAAAAGTCTGGACAGTCTAATGGGAGACAGACCGGCATGGTAGAAAGAGGAGCATTAGACTGAAGCCTCAGAAGACCCTGCATTCTAGTCCTTTGGCCTCTTCCATGAAATATATAACTTGGGGCAAGCCTCTCCGAACTGTGTTTCTTCATTTGTAGCTCAATGGAATTGGACTAGCTAATCTCTCATGGCCCTTCCAACATTCACATCATGGAGAAATGTCCACTACGGTGAAATTTATTCAGCTACACATCTGTCTGTCAACTAGACCGACATTTTTAAGACTTAAGGATTATGTCTAGGGTAACTATGAATACCCAGCACCTGGCAGAGTGTCATGAACAAAGCAGCTGCTTAATAAAATGTTTACTAAATAAACCTTCATGCCTAGAGCCCCATCAAAATGGTGCCTTTAACCTGTTACCCGTTCCCCACCTTATTTTTTGTATTTAGAAGGAGTACAGGAGAACATGTTTTGAAGATTCATTATGCTGCCATCAAGTGACCAATATCAGAGGGAACCTTTAAACATTTCCATACCCTGTCTTTAATGTTGTCTCCTCATTTTTCCTCTTATTAAAGACATCTCCACATGCCTGGCACCCCTGCGTTGTGTGTGACACATAGTGGGCCCTCAATCACTGTCAGATGGGGGAACTTACGAACACATCAACTTTTCATTTTTCTGCTTCTGTGAGATTTACTTTTGTAGAAGGCCCCAGAATCTGGCCTCAAATTATAAAGCAGTCAAGGGAATAATTAGGCACTGAAGAACACTATCGTTAGATAAGACATTTCTGTTCATTTTACTATAAAATATTTTCTCAGTAAATGTGTTTTAAATGGCTAACATTGTGAATGGGGCAATTAGAGCAGCTCCGTGGATAACCATGCCTCGGCTTGCACCATCTCTGTCCTCCTTCCTAGTTTAATTCACCAAAGAAACCAATTACCCCTATCGCTTTGTATTTCCTGAGTTTAAAGCCAGACTAAATGGCCCGATCTGCCCTCCACATTTTGGGTAAGCAATGGCTCTGAGTACACAGCGGTTGCACTGTGTAGAAGCTGAGAGCCTGTGTCAACCAAGCCATCCCAGCCCGGGTCTGAGTCCCAGTTCCCCTACCTTCTTTAACAGCTTTGAAATCCCTCACAAGGGATTGAACCTCTTTAAGCTGCATTTCTCCCTTTGGACCTATCTCGTGGACTGCTGCGAAATAATATTAGGTGAACTGGCCAGCAGAGCCCCTGGAATGTGGCTGGAGTTCAACAACAGTAGGGTAATATATGGTTTTGCTGCCTCCGTCCGTCCACCCAGCTGGCAGCATTTGGGGTCAGTCACAATGACCTTCATGGGATCTGCTGGTAGCTCTTGGCCATGTGTTCTGCTCTACGCTGGAAACTGGGTGCCCCCCTGCAGTTCTGAATGTGAGCACTCTAGCTTGGCAGGGACAATGTGACTGAAACCAAGACAACTGCTGCTCCTGTCACAGAGCCCATCACGGGGAGACTGGTATAAGCAAGGCTGAGGAAATAACCGCTGGACCGCACGGAAGCTTCGCCTCACTTGAGTTCTTGTGTATGCTGAGTTAGTGACTTCTGGCTGGGCCTCCTGCTTAAAGTCACCACCCAAAAGGGTGACAGGATACATGCAATTAAGACCATGAGAGGGAGATCAGAATCAGAAAAATTGGTGATAATGTAATTAAGGGGAAACCTGATCCATTTCTGGATCGTGGCTCTTCTGCGAACTAGAGCTGGGTGCCCTGGGGTGAGTTACAGTTTCATGGAGCTTCTGTTGCCTCACTTATGAAATGGAGGTAATTACACCCACCTCACGTGATTGTCATGAGGATTACAATGACTAACAGCAATGGAAAGGACTTACCATGGACCACATGTATGCTAAACGCTTTAACACGTGCTATTCTCTATAAAGAAGATATTGGTTTTAGCCTTATTTTATGAATCAGCCGTATGACAGATCAAGATAAGATGATTCACCCAAGGTCTCACAGCAGGTAAGTAGGTGGAACTAAAATTCAAGCCAGGCATTATGACTCCATAGCCTGTGGTCTTTTTCTTTTTTTCTTTGAAGACTTATTTATTTATCTTGAAGGGGGGCAGGAGAGAGATATAGAGAGAGAGAGCTCGCACAAGCAGAGCGAGGGGCAGAGGGAGAGAATCTCAAGCAGACTCCCTGTGGAGCTCAGAGCCTGATGCAGGACTCGATCCCATGACCCATGAAACCATGACCTGAGCCGAAATCAGGACTCGGACGCCTAACTGACTGAGCCACCCAGGCGCCCCCTGCATAGTCTGTCATCTTAATGTGCCCGTAGCTCTGTGAGATCACTCAGTCCCTCTACCATCTCTGCCTACCCCCTGATCTTCCCCTCACTCCTCTCCTTCGGCACTGGATGTTGGCCAGGCTGCCCCACCCCAATAGGACCCAATTCCTCAGAAGACGGCAGACTGGTACTCACGGTGGTGGTCAGCTTTCCTCCATTCTTCTGGACATATTGGATGGAATCGTGGATCGTTGAAAAGAGACCAAGCAGGACGTTCTCCATGTCGTAGATCCTGTACATGCCGTTCACCAGATCCTCCAGAGACAGGATGTATTCTCGCCAGTACTTGTCGATCTCCACCACCCCGGCCATACAGCCTTGCATGACCACGTTGCAGTAGCCACCACAAGGCTTGACCATCATCAGTCCCTGGCAGTACGAGCAGTACCACATTCTAGTGAGCATTCGGCCACAGTCTTTACTGAACTTCAGGTGGTCGGTGGTGTTGATCACCTCAATTCCGAGATTCAGGGCCTGGAGGAAGATCCGGGTAACTTGCAGTGACTTGGAAACCTGGGTCATGATAAGCTTGGGGAAATTCCCAAACACTTTCAGGTCACGCCTTGCCCCTCGGAGGCACTCATTGATGTCTAAGGCTGACTCAGGCAGGCCGGGGTTCATAAGCTGGGTGTAGATGACCGGGAACAGGCTGTCGAACAATTCATTGACCATGTCATCCACGTTGATATCAGAACCCAGGATGTACAGAGACACGTCGGTGAAAAATTCACCCACAAACTCGAAAGCTTGTGGGGTCAGGCTCGGGTAGTTGTTCTTGAACATGGTGTTGGTGTAGTTCTTGGCGTGGCGGACGACAATTTCAAAGGCCTCTGCAAAATAAGAGATATAGAAATGCCCCGAGATTAAAGCTTGAAAACCCAGGGTGTTGAATTTGAGATTTCTCTATTGCTGTGGTGATTAAAGTCCCATTTGCCTTAAATAATTGACTCATATTCATTTCTGCCTCTACTCCTGCAGCTGTTTGTTCCTATAAATCAATTTTCCTTTCTGAACATGAAGTCCAAACCCTGATGTGTGCATAAATTCTTAAACACACAAATTGTATTTCAAATGACAAAAGCCAGGATTCGGTTAACATTTCGGCCTCTCATGAAAATATTGATTAAAAATTGGCCAAATGAGAAGTTACTTCTCTTTCTCTCCTTGATTTATTCAGTTAAAAAGAAAAAGTATTTGGAGACATTTCATTTTCAGACAGAGATAAATATTTGACAACAAACCGTATACCACCATATAAACTCACATAACAATTTAAGCCCGTTCAGCCCTGGAGGAGAGGCGAGTTCTTAGCCGGGAATAAAACCTATCACGATTTAATCATTTTTGGTAGATTTTCTCAAGATAACTTTAAAGGAAGCAATCTGACAGATTGCCAGAACTGGAAATGGAATGTATCCCCCAAATGGGTATCTGGATGGAAAAAAAAAATAATCCATGTACTTATCTATACATTTGATACTGCAAATAACACCTCTGGTATTTGCAAGCTGAACATCTGGAAGGACGACTGCTAAGCTTCCTTGGTGAAGTTTGGCTTCCACATGCTTATCTACTCTACAGAGACTATAAGTTCAAGATTACATCTGCTGCCCCTACCCCCTGGCACAAGGCCCAATTAGTGTCATTGGTTTGAGAAAGAAAGTAGTAATGTCATCATCTCATTTTCTCCAAGCTGAAACACTCCAGATGCAAATTATCCCAAATAATCAGAGTTCCACATTTATATGAGGGAAGGGAAAACAACCATAATGATAGGGTTTTCAAGAAATAAGACAGCTTCAAAACAAACAAAAATAACCAAGTTTCCTGGGACATTTAAAATGAACTTAGTACTTTCTTTCGTTTCCTTCCAAAGTGCAAAGGTCCATGACAGATGTAGTCTAAATGATGCCAGTTCATGAGCCTTGAAAAATCAAATTATTACTACTTTCAGACTTCTATAGAGACTGCACTCTACCAGCTCCTTGGGATCACTTAGTCCAACATCACAGTCATCTGTAGCAGAAGTGAGTCTAGGCTGTGCCACCACCATCTGCTCCGGATCCCTCACAAGGTAGAACATGCTTGCTAGATTCTTCCCTGGGGCTTATGACATGCCTAGCAATGGTGAACAGATGCCAGTGTAATTCTACTGGGCTTCCAAGCCCACTGGAGAAAGTTAATCTTCATTTCCATCAACTGCTATGTGCTCATTTGTTTGTTTTGTTCTATTTTGTTTAGAACATAAGGCAATTCCTGGAAAAGTCATCTATTTTATGGCAATTTCTTCCTAACCCCACATACTACTCTAGTCTCAATCCTTGTATCTCGAGGCTGAATGAGGCCATGAAGCCAAGAGATCATCCAGTCCAATACAAAGGACCGGTCAATGAATTCTTTTATGTCATCAGAAATTTGGAGATTTAATAAAACTATTCATTCATTCTAATTTCAGCTACCCATCATGTATTATATATTAGGCTGTGTGGTAGGTGCTGGGGGTATAGAAATCCTGAGTCAATGGACATAAATGGTAGATCATCCCATCTTAAAAGTACTCGTGAGCTATATGCTTTGGTGTTTACAAAGCGTTTCCAAGAATATTATGATATCTGCATTTTACAACAATCTTCTGAATTTGATATTGTGATCCCCATTTTATGGTTGATGGGACTGATGCTCAGCAGAGTTTAAGCACATTCCCGGGGTCACATAACTGCAAAGCAGAAGTAGCAAGCTTAGACTAGTGTCTCCCAGCCACGGTTACACTCTAGCTGCCCTCGGCCCTAGAGCCAGCACACATATCCTCAAAAATCTTTGTAGAAAGTTAACTTCTTTTAAAGCTCATTATTTTCTCATTGGCTTCGCCTCTCCAGGTGGAAATGTATTAGAAGAAATTGCAGCCCAAAGACTGACAAAACAGAAGCCCACTTTCACCTTTGCCTTAGGGCAGCATGAGGTAAAGGAAGGAGGACTGCTACCTTAAAATGAATTCTCTACAAGGCAAATTTCATCTCTAGCCCACAGTGCATGTGTTCTCTAACGTGCAAGATATATGACAGTGAAATTCCGTAGACCGTACTGCCATAACCCTTTTTTTTTTTTAAGCTTCTGCTACCAGCACTGCTGGATCAATAGAAAAAGAAAATTACAAAAGATCATGAACTCTTCTACAGAAAGAATAACAACAACGCATATTGCAGGGGGAAAGGGCTCCAGGTTCACATCTAACCTCAAGCTCACATGTGCTCCCTGCTCTAACTCTGGCCGCTTGGAATCCACTTAGCACATCCCTGGGTTTTGCCTAACCCCCTTACTTCTACATCACAGGACAACAGACCAAACCATAACTGCTCAAGCAAAAGCTCCTTGGGGACTTCGAGGAGCCCATGCGAGGTGAAAAGTGTTGCTCAGCTAGAGGTTGGCAACTGGAGATTTCAAGAAATGAAGCCAAGGGCTAGAATTACTGCAAGGAAGTTCAACCCATTGATTTTTTTGGTGTATGTGGGGGGGTGGCGGGGAGTCAGGTAATAATGTACACTTAAGCTAGAGGAGGATTTCCTCTGTCTCTTTTCTGGAAAGGAGTTGAGAGTTATGTCCAGGAAAAATTGGAACAATATAAAAATCAGAGCTATAAAGAAAAATTTGGCACTGAACCCTAAAAAATACGTTTTACAATATATAAAAAGCTAAATGATACAGATAAATAGCGCTAATAAACTGAGTTAATATACATCCCAATATAGCATGTTTTCTAGATTTGAAGATGCCCCCATCACTATCCTGGGCACCACTACTTGGACACACTCTGGTGTTGTCAACATCGTCCTTAAACTATGTTGTGCAAAAGGGGACACAATTCTCCAGATGTGATTTCATAGTGAATTTTGCAATCAGGCTATTTATTACCTCTCTTTAAGTGGTCCAACAACTCCTCCTGCTAACCACCCTCCCTACCTCTGGACATATAGACTACCACTGTAGCAAAATGACCATCTTTAGTATTTGGTAATGATGTTTCTGGATTCAGACCCAGACAGAAAGAAATGTATTCTCATGGGCCTTTCCAGTAGAAGGCTGCATACTTTCAAAAAGGAGATTACACTTATGGTTGGAAGAGAGCTGCTGAATTCCTTCAAGCCCTTAAGAATAGGGCAGTCCTTAAAGAAGCAGGTTCTTTTTTCAAAGCATTTTCCCCCATATTGTAAGAATGGCAAAAAATGTTCTAAAAACGTTCTAAATTTCTAGAATACACGCTAAGTAATAAGTTGGACTCAAAATGGTCCTTGGCTTCAAGCACAGGTACTTTAATGGAAAAAGTAACATTTATGTGGGACCTGTAGCATATGTGCCAGGATCTGTGGCAAACTTGCTCACATATGTCCTCTCATTTAACTTTAACATAGCCATATGTATTTGGAGTTATTTTTATTTGACTGGTGAGGAAACTGAGGCTCAGACAGGTTAAATGACTCTACAAGGTACTACCTACAATTACAGACCATGGCCTGAATATGAATGTAGGGCAGTCTAGCACCAAGCCCCTTATTAATCTTACAATATGCATCACCCTTGAAAACTGGATATTTGAAGACTTCTGGTCTTGGTGGCAACATGCAAAGAGCTTAGAATTCATTGTTCCCAGGCTCCACAGCAACATAATAGCTGAGCAAACTGAAAATCAACAATTCTTCTTAGACCCTTCAAGGAACTGAGGTCACAGGGCAAACCATCTCCCTGAAATGTGGGAAGATAGGCAAACACAGAGAATCACAGGTACGATCACATCTTACCTGGAGCAGAAGCCACTAGAGCCATCAACTAGGAGGAACATTTATAGGACAATTTTGAAAAAATGACAGACAAAATGTGAACTAGCTTGAGACCTAAAAGCTCCTGGGCCCCCAATATTATAGGGCCCCCACACTTCCATGGGATTTACCTTCAGGAAACATACAGAGCTCCCATGGTGAAGATCTAAGAAAAGTCTCCTTGTTTTCAGGCAGCGGGAGGAGAAAAATAATAATTTAGGAATATACCATGAGCATTCTCCATAATAAATATCTGCTCTCCAAAGGACACCACTTTACCAAAGGCTAATATATGTGGTAGGAGGGCAATTAGACAAGTCTAGGCCCCTCTAGTTCTCCTGTTCTATCTTAAGGGAGAAGACAAAAGCTGAGAAAACCTTATGAAGGTCACGGCCCAAGACCTAGACTCACGGAAAGCCTAAGATTAGTTATAAGATTGCAGTCCACCTCAACTTCTTCTATAATTTGGCATCAGAAAGACAAAGACCCTATTTAAGAAAGAGTTATTAGGGAAACCCAAAAACAATTGGTGAGGGGAAAAAATAAAACAAGGGAACTACAGAAAACTAAAGCTGCTGGCATTTATAGTTACAGCAAATATCAAATAGCCCAGTTCCATAAAAATTCACACTAAAAGGGGCGCCTGGGTGGCTCAGTGGGTTAAAGCCTCTGCCTTCCACTCGGGTCATGATCCCAGGGTCCTGGGATCAAGCCCCGCATTGAGCCCTGCATTGGGTTCTCTGCTCAGCAGGGAACCTGCTTCCTCTTCTCTTTCTGCCTGCCTCTCTGCCTACTTGTGATCTTTGTCAAATAAATAAATAAAATCTTAAAAAAAATTCACACTAAAAGTGTAAATACCTTAGTTCCTATCACCCTGTATCATGCCTTACTTTCAACAGTCATAAGCCATGCTAAAAGGTAAGAAAAACAGTTTGAAGAGACAAAGCAATAATCAGAATCATAATCAGATATGGCACAGATTTTAGAAATATCAGGCAGGGAATTTAAAATAACTATTA